CGAGTCGCTCCGCCTCGTCGCACAGCTCGTCCGTTCGCGAACCTTCCGCTCCGAGGAGCTGCCACCCAGGGATGGTACAGGCGGTGGTGGGGCCTGCTCAGTGTGGCTGTGCAAAACACGCTTGCTGCCACTTTGCTCGGGACGCCGCCAGTCCATGCCCCCATGCCTGGCGCGCAGGCACCGCATCTGCGGGACGTCCTGCACGACTGCCTGCCGGCCCGCTGAACCGCTGCAGCCACGTTGCAATGCCGTGTAGCTCGCAGGTGCACTGGGACCGCGCGTGGATCGCCCGAAAAGTCCGTGGGGAAAAAGAAAAGTACCTCCATTTTTGGAAAAGTCGTGCAGCGGGCGTTTGGGCGATCTTCCTGAAGCCATACGCGTCAGGACAGCCATACCTGCTTCTGCCACGGTGGAAGTGATCGTATGTAACCAAAACATGGTCTGGTTGATGTTTTCAAGATTATGTATCTCGCGAAGCAGCAAAGCAAGTCGCAGAAGCCACCGCAGGCCGTTCCCCACTTCCGCACAAGACTTGCGCTGCGAAGAAAACCATGATGCTGTTCCTTGGCAAACTGCCATGCTATCACATTCGCCAGCACATGTTGGGGGACAAGCCCCCGGTGACTCTTCGAAGAAGTTCATCGTCACCAAGCAACTAGGCTCACGAGAACGATGAACTCGCGAAGGACATCCAGTTCATAAACGACCAGGCTCCCGAGCGCGACTCCCGCAACGAGCATATTGTCGTTCATTAGACCGGAGTCAGGCACACTCATTGAAGGATAGCAAGAGACGAAGATGAGAAATATGGCGCAAAACAAAAGCAGCGGATTGAGCGGAGCCGTCAGCATGACCGAGTTTCCTCTGACAACAGTCAGTTTGAACGCAGCCCTGCACGGTCACATCCTCGAGTACGTGTACCCTCTCCTCATGACAACGGCGGTCATGATGCTGGGCTGTCCCGGTGTGGGTAAGACTCCCGCCATCATCGCCGCTGCATACCGTGACACTGTTCAGCTGTGTTGCTGCTTGAGAGCTTGATTGCGTGACAGCAGATCTACGTAATCCAGGTGACATCTCATAGCCAGGTAGGACACATAGGCTGGAATCCCCGCATCATGCGTGGTCTGTTGAGCATGCCTGAATTTAAAAAGCCCATCGTTCGCACTGTGACTCTGGCATGGTCTAGCAGGGTTGCAAGGATAGCACGTCGCTGTCGTGCAGGGCGTCAGCGACGTGTAGCAGGCGTCACCGTGCTAAGCATGCTTTTTTTTAGTATCTAGGGTTCTAGGTCCTCTACGTGAAATCGTCGGTGAGCACTTCGAGAAGAGACGCGGTGAATGTGCTGAATGTGTAAGCACATTTGCGGCCGATGTGTATGAAGATTTGCAAGAAATGTGGAATATGTTTCGTCCGAGGAAATGAATCTGAAAATGCAGCGAGTTTCGCACAAAGAGAGTTTCATGCGGAGTTTCACTGTGCGACGAGTCACAAAACAACACTTCAAGCACAAGAAGAGGCTTCGAGATAGGTTTTGAATGTGGTAGCATATATTTTTTTTCTTTCACGCTTTTGGGTTAATTGCACACACAATGTTTTCACAGGTGCGTGTTTTTTCTCCCACGCGTTTTTTATGACCGCGGGGGGACGGAGCTGACAGTGCGGACTACGGGCAACCTGCTGGCGGACTCCAATGCAATCAGCCGGTAACGGAACCGGCCTGCCTATAGCAATGGGGTGGGAAAGTAGGTGCTGATTGCGTCTCATGTCAACTCGTGCTGCACGCTGCAATGGAGAAACCCACCATTAGAGAAACCTACCGTTGATGATGAAGTTTTTAGAAGGCGGGTGCCTTGCTAAACCCTGCTGTCCGTGTTTGATCTTGGGCCCGATGCACCAGCCGCGCTTGGAGCCGTGTTGCTCATCAGCCTCCGCCGTGTTTTCTTGTTTCTTCCAACTCGGTTCTCCTCGCCCGGCACCCGGGTCTCGGTAAGGCTCTGCATCGCTGAGGATGCCACGTTGGCATTCGCAGACGTCGCGACCCTCCTTGCCCGCGCTTGCACGCCAGTTCTTCTCGTCACTGCAATTGCCGTAGGACGCGTGGTTCCATTCGCAAGCCTGGGGCGGCTCGCGCGGGCTTTAGCCCTAGCTGTGCGCGATCTACTGTTGAGACTTGTTGCACACAGCCGGGTGCCAGCTACCACCTGCGCGAGGACCCATTGTTTTTGTGGGCCGAAGCGAAGGCGCTCGAGCACACTTTTCGAACCATGACCCCGAATTGACGAGTCTCTTCGTTAATCCCAGGACCCTACGACAACACAGTGTTGGCTCAGTTAGGTCTGGAAAAGAAAAACACTTGGCTATCCAGTGTTCAGACGGATGCTTTAAAGTGGCCTGACACGCAAGTGGTATTCCAGCAGACAAGCCCCAAAAACCTGGGCCCAAAGCCTTTGAGCGGCACGAACAATACAAGGGTTCAGGCGCAGTAGGGGAAGCCAGCTCAAAAGGCGTACAGTGGCAGGATTGTCTACTGATTTCGACAAGGAGTTCATGAAATTCAACGACGACAAGATGGACACGCAGCTGCAAACGAAGAGAAAGGCACCCGAAAGAACACCGGACAAAGAAGCCGCGGCCCGCAGCAAACAGTCAGCCAGGGATGCAACACCAGAGCTTTGTCAACAGACCTATCGGAACCCAGTACCAGCAGAGTAGGAAGCAAAAAATTTACGAGATCCGTCGTTGGCCCAGCACACATCCGACATATGTTCCGGCTATGTAATATGACAACAATTTGTTTTATCACGCCCATCGACTGCAAAATGTCCAACTATCATGGTGAGTCGTATCATTTGCAATATGCAATCGCAGCATCTGGACACGTTTGCCGGCCTTCAGTTGTGTGTTGAAGTCGCCTCCAAGAACGGTTGCTTGCCCCAATTGTTGTGAATCCGCTAAAACGCAGTGGAGTTGTTCAAAGACAGGGCACTGCGGCACAGCTCTTCATGAGAAGAACCGGCATGCGGCAAATATGTAACGCTCATTCGCCAAGTAATAGCAGCAACAAGCAAATCCATTTGCCTCATTTGTCGCTGATCGGGCAAATGCGCTTCACATGTCGGAACATAATAATCCAGATATAATAGGTAGTAAACGGCGAACAGTGTGCCGTGTATAATGTCTGTACTTTAGCATCGCATTGCTAGCGCGCTTCGTGAACACCAGACTTATGCTTGCCCACTTTGGCTCGCGGAATCAAAAAAGGAACTCCAAAGCGTGTCCAAATACTGCTGCGATTCAAGGTTTTCCGCAAGAAAGGGCGGTCCGTCTCGTTATATTTACAACGAATGAGTCATGCTTCCAGAACGTAGAGCATTCTGTAAAGTATACACCGCACCGCAGCGAAAGACTTTGCGCAGCGAGCATCCTGTGTAAATAACAGGATGCAAGGACCAGATTTGCACCTTTTGCGGTACATAACGGGATCCAGGGAAGCCAAAACCACAAGCCCCATCCAAAACTTAAACAAATTCCACCCCTTTTTTTGTGACCGGGACAAGTGCCGGTCCAACATACACAAAGTTGGCAGTGGCCAACAGGCTAAGGCGGAATGGTGCTCAGATTTGATGACGGGCCGTCAATGAACTGTTGGGAGATGTTGAGGAGACTGGTGCGTTGGTGAAGTGTAAAGTGTAAAGCCGCATGGGTAGAAGCGACCAGCCCTTCGCAACAGGCGAAATGTCGCAGGAGGAGAGCGGCCCGTCGATGCCATGTGGCACGGATGCATCGTCAATGTTCCGACTCCTCGTGCCCCATTGTGTGCCAAGCCAATTTTTGGCTGGCTTTAGAAGCGCCATGACTCGCACGGGCTCCTCAAGAGGGACGCTGTTGCCTGAGTTCCAAATTGCATCATATTGAGCAAGCATATCCTCATGGCACGCGCTTGCTTCCACAGGCCTGCATGGCCCCAAAAAATGTTGCACTGCTGTGCTTGGGCAGTTGCCGCCGTGGCTTGGACCTTAGTGAGATCGATGTTGGGACGGATTGTTGGAAACACTTGTTTGGAGTCGTGCAGGCTTTGACTTCGCTTGCGAACAGGCGTATCCAGTGATCGACATTGGTGCCCTGAGCACACTTGTGCTGCATGCTTCATTGAAGGACCTTTGCTTTGCCAAGCAGTGGCAGCGGCGAGACTACGAAGCTGCGCAGCCGCACGCCTCAGGCCGACCAGTTTCACAGCACATGTGCACCACAAACACACTGGGTGCTCACGATTTGAAGACGGCACAGAAAACATGGTGCTTTTTTCGCACGTGAAACTTGAGTGATGCGCAGATTCTCGGCCAAGCCAACGGTGGACCAGAGGCCTACAGACGGGCAGTTGCCAATACGAGCATCGCATGAAAAATTGCGGTAACGTGCCTTGTGCGGAAGCTGCAGTGTGGAGCTGCTGCCCTCAATGGCGCCGTTGTTGCCCAACCCCGAACTGGAAAGATAAAACGGAAGCATACAGCGTAGCTCATTTTGTAAAGGGCGGACGTGACGGCTTTGTCAAGGTCATGAAACCGGTGAACAAAAACTTGCGGTCATGCACTTGGGCCCAGCCCTCCATAGCTGGAACCCGCCGTGTTCTTGCACAAGGTCTTCCATGATCAGGGCCGCCGAAGCAGAGGCTGAAACTGAAGCACCACCTCCGAAGCCAAAGAAGGCCAGGGTCGGTCACTTTTGCACGTTTCTACAGACGAGAAACCCATTGGGAGGTGCGGATCACCGCATTTGATGCCATTCGCTTCTTTCTGATTGCCTACATTGTGCGACTTGGTCCATTGATGACATGGCATTTCCTACGGAGAATGGCTGTCGCCGACCTGAAGACGCACTGACGCACGGCCCAGGTGCGGCCATTTCATTTCCTTTGCAGCGCCCAGCCAATTCGCATTCAAGGCCTGGCGGGCGCTTCGTGCTCTTTAGGCTACAGGTAATTCCTGCGGCGGTGGGGGGGGGAATCATTTCCCATCCTGCTTCTCCAACAAACTGCCTTTTGGATCATGCCCGCAATTCATGGCTGAGGCCATCTCGCAGATCAACGTGGTGGTCGTTTCCTCAGAAGCTTGACGTTGAAAGGCGTGCCTCCTGTCACGGACGATGTGGCTACCTGTGGCTGGCAGTGTGGATGCAGCCAGACTAGGGGACTGGGAGTTCCTTCTGGCAGCTTGCGAGGTTGGGGCCTTCTTCGCATTGAGTGGTTATGTTGCAGCTTGGCCCTTGGAGCCATGGCCGATTGAATTTCATACTTCATGCATCTCCATTCTCATCAGCGAGGCATACACGACAACCGAAAATGCTGAACGGGCTGCAAGTCCCAAGTTGTTGGGCACGCTGCGGCCTTGGATAGGAACAGATGCCCTGGTTGGCAGTGAGCGCCAGCAGACTGAAACATGTGTTAAGCAGTAGTCTAGAGCACTTTCTGTAGACGTCAAAACCATGCTTGACTTTGCAGCTTCCGTGTCAGAGACTAGTGTCGTGTAGGGGGCACATAGATATCAAGAACACGATAAGCTTTAGTTGATTACCACAGATCGTTTTCAACGAGTTCGAGACTGCCAAGCAATTTGCCGCTGTCGTCAAACGACGACGGACATGGGTGTCCTTTCCTGTGCCGGTTGCGGCGTCGTGTCCCAGCAAGCCGCCGCGGACCGATAGGCTCGTTGGGATCAAGGAAGTGTTGTTTCCGGAAGAAGTGAGCAAGCGGGACCACCAGAAACTAAGAGGGTGAGGATTGAGGGATATTGAGGGCGTACGGTACGTCACGTGAGAGATGCCGCGTCGGCGACCATAGGGAGTGAGGTAACACAGCGCGGGAGATATGGACCAAGGATGTAGCGGCGTGCGCGTGCGCACGGCGGGGTGGCAAGGGGCAGACTAGGTCACCAGATGAAAGATGAGGCGTAAAGTGGTAAGATGCTCAATCAAGCAGAGAACGGCAGTGACAAGCTGCAAGGCTGCTTCGGCATGGGCTGCTCACAAGCTTTGGCATGCCACTGCGACGACAATGATATCGATGACGGGAAGGCAGCTCGAAGTCACACTCATCTTTATTGAGGTTTGAAAGTCCCATGACCTGGCAGGATTCCTTTGCAAAAGCTTTTGCAAAAAGAAGCAAGACGATGGCTTCCTTCCGAGTTTCATCCTTCGAAGACTTGTCCACGTTGTCAGACGGCGGTAGCGATGAAGCCATGGAGCTTGTTCGCCATTTCTACCAAGAGGCAGTCATCAACGGCACTCGCCGGACGCATCTTGGCGAAGCATAACCACTTCTTCTTGCTTCCGTCTCCTAGCATGTTTGTCGATGCGAGACAGGAATACGACAGCCCATGGTGCATACGAGTATGCCGCTCAGCTGCCACAACAGGGTGAGGGTTAGACTAGTCCGTTCCTGGGATGGTTGCCTCAATGCTGTATCCGTCAACTCGAAACCACAGATGCGTAGCATGCTCTCCAATGAGGACATGAAGCTGGAGCATTTGCAGGAGATCGTTGGCAGACTTGGATTCAATGACTTGCAGGAAGGTGAGCTGAAGCGGTTGTACGAAGCTTTGCTTTAAGAGAACCTGCAAAACTTGAGACGGCAGACAGCATCAGGCAGCTATAGACTTGTGTACAGAGCTCGTTGTGAGTGTGAGTCATATGCGAGCCGACTGCTTCAGTCAGATAAGTTGTGAGTGTTGCCGGCTGGTATGGAGCATGGCTTTCGACATTGGCTACTTTGTTCTGCCCAGCCTTGCATTTTGACGCTTACCCGAGGAATCCATCCCGAAGAGTCCGGAAGGTTCTGTCACCATGCAGGAATTTGCTGCTGCTGTGGCATATGGTCCAGCAAGTCACATATTGCAATCGCTGGTGAAGAAGCTCCGATGCTCGACCTGTATGTGTTAAAGAGGAACCTGAGCTAGAGTGCTCGTGAGACTGCATCCGTTCGGTTTTGTTGAAGACGCTGAGCAGACACCAGTTGCCGTGTCGTGTTGTACTGTCGGGATGCAGAGAGAAGCCGCTTGTGCAATTAAGGGCTGGGCTGCGACTCTGGTTTCGTACCTCCTGTCGACTACGACTTCATGTCGTCGACCAGCGAGAATTACGGGACGAATCACTTGACCTTCTATGGGCCTTTTGCCAAATTCCGTGAGCTCTGTGATTACTCCTACCATGTCAACTACACCAGGAGGCGCCAAGCCTGGCAGGATGAGGCCATCAAGGGTGTGATTTCGAGAGCTGTGGCACAGCCAGCACCCTGGTTGGTCTATACATGTGGCCCTATGGGTGTTGGCAAGGCTCCCTGACTGGACTACTCCTCAAATCCTTGGGTCATGTGCATGGGGCCGCTGCACTAGCGCGGGCACATGCAAGTAGAGTTCAGTGAATGTTCGGAGTAGGTCGTCGTTGCTCTTGTTTAACCGAATCACCCCTGTGTACGGCCCATTGAAAATTCTGATCGCGAGTTGTCCAGCACTGGCCCTGCTTCAACCCAGAACACGAATTTCGACCGAACCGGGGGGAGATTTGGATGCTGTTCTGGCAGGTGCTCGGGAGGTTTAAAGCGGATTGGTGTTGGCCTTCTTGGGGAGCCGACGATTAGTCTAAACAGCGTCTTTGCCATTCTTGGGCCACCACTCAACCCTCCCAGAGTTCACTCGACCCAACACTCATAAGAGTAATCGTACAAGCACGGCCCAGGGCTATACCCTGTCGTGGATGTCTCAGAATGGCTTTTTTCCTTTGGAGAACATTGTCCACATCGATCCTGACGCCTTCAAAATGATGATGCCTGAGTGGCCTGACTACGTGGCCCGTGATCGGGACAAGGCCGGCACCCTTTGTCACCTCGAGTCCTCCTTCATGGTCGAGGTTTCGCAAGCTGCAGCAATGGAGAAGCAGCAGAACATTTGGGTGGACGGTTCATTGAGAGATGCTGACTTTTACCAGAAGGCTTTTCGACGAATCCGTGAGACACACCCCAACTATAGAATCTCAATCTTCTACATCACAGCTTCCGAACAAACAATTCGCCAGCGTATACGACATCGAGCTGAACAGACTGGAAGAGACGTGCCCGAACATTTGATCAAGGCATCCCTGCAAGCTATGGACAAATCGCTGAATACGTTGACCCCACTTTGTGACTTTGTGGCTCGAATCAGCAATGAAGGCAATGAGCCTACGTTGGTTGCCTTCGAAACTGTTGACACAAAAGGAAATTGGAGTGTTATCAGTGATCGATTTGCTCGGACATATCACGACCCCGGCGAGTTTCCGCAGTCGTGTCCCACATTGAGGCTGCTTCCTTTGCATGCGAACTTGACGGCAACAATCCAAAGTCTCCAACATGTCGACACGCACAACGAGCTCTCTCTGTGGTTGGACCTTGCGGCGACTTCCAAGTGTGATGCCGGTAAGTTGTCGGAGATTTTCGGCTCGACTCTGGTGTTACAGACCTCGCCCAGGTACGAGGTCAATGGGAGATACGAAAGTATTCATCTGGTCCCGAAAGAGGCTACGAGTGCTTTCTGGATATATCCGTGCCAAGGTTCTCAAATGAGCTACTCACGACGCTTGCAAAGTTGCGATGGCCTTTGGGATCGAAACCTTCAACTTCTGGGTCAGCTTCTGCTCTATGGAGGCTTTGCATACTGCAACGGCGATGAAGTCTGTCTGTTGCATGTGGCTACGAGCGCAAGCAGTGACATCTTGATGCAGTTTGGCAAGCCATTTTCAGTCAAAGTTGGAGCCCTTCCCAAGGAACGGCTGCAGCAGGTTACGAGCCCATACTTTGAGCAACAAGGCGCCAAGCAGTACTGCTGGCTTGGCCCGGGCGAAGACATTGCAGGAGCAACTTTAAATCATGGAGCTTTTGCATATGTGATGGACGAAGGTAGCGTATTTGTGTTTCCTGTTGTCTAGCGGGGATGTACTTAGAAATAATTCTGACTTCTCCCCTTCGTTGCAGCATGCTGCAACATGTATAGAAGTTACTGGCATGACACTTGGCGTGCTGGTACGCGCCGCCACACGTGCACGCTTGGCTGGAGACTCAAAGAGTCGCTGAAATTAGTGCCAGGCTTGGTCCTCATACCAGATCTCGTCGCGTGCCCGTAAAGTTTGCTTTGCGAGAGTGCAAAGTGGAAGCCTGTCTACCCGGAGTCGCTGCTTGCCTCAGGCCGGCACCGAAGTGGATTCTCCAGCGCGCTGCGACCTCAACCATCAATCCTTGCATGGCCACGCCGGTTCGAAAAACCGGACGTTTTTAGACTCCCAATCACAGTTTTGGAATTTTGGTGCTTCGTTCTGCCTGGCCTGTTCCAAGTGGCTTTCATGTGTGACGTGGCACAACTGTCTGACATCAGAGGTCTTTGGCTACTTTCCACTCCACCTCTTGGTCTTGCTGCTGTTTTCGTCAAAGTCTCAGACGGTCGGACATGCCGCCCACAAGGAGCACATGTTGGTGGGCGTTTGGGAGATCAAGGCCGGTGTTCCTGTACGCAGATGTGACGTTCAACGGGTGGCCTACAGCCATATGGCCTCTCTCAGCATGTTTTCACGATGACTGCTGCGGGTATTGTCGCACACCAAATGCGAGAAATGAGCTGAGCCTTGTACGTGCTAGGAAGAGTTCGCCCAGAGAGATGAGAGCGACTGCCCCCACTGCAAAGCCTAACTTGTCTTCAGCCGACTGCATAGGCAGCTGCATGACAGGCACGGCTTTCTTTCAGCGGGGATGCTGCAAGCATGGTTTCCCATGCACGCCGAGGCGAGATAGCTGTCTGCGCTGCATGACAGGCGGAGGCGTGCTGTTGTGCAGGTGTGGAATGCTCCGACATGGTTTTTGTCTGCTCTGACTTTTGCAATGGCGTGGGCCCCACAAAACCCCTGCGCGAGTCGCGGGCTCTGGATGAGAGGAGAGACATGGTCCAGCAAGTGCCAAGGCCCTGCTGCCTTTCGCTTTGCCCATTCTGGCAAAGCAGAGCAAAGCCGAGCTTCGCCGCCGCTTCCTCGTTGCGGCGCACAAGTGCGTGCATAGGCCTGCCATGCTGATGGGTCACACAGCTGCTACCAGGCACCGGATTGTTCATCTTCGTAATTGGCCTGCTGCCGAAGTCTTTGTCTCAGGTATAGTTGTTTGAACCCCCTAGCTGTGGAGCTGATGTTGGTTTGCTGGCCTTTGTTCATTCACTGTTCCACGGCGTCACAGTTGTAGTAGTAGTCCTCCATGGTTTTGTCGGATTCCACAGTCCTTGAAACTCTCTGGCTGGCTGAGGTTGGGCTACTGCTATGATCATCAGGTGTGAGCGCTGGACGCTTTGAATTCCAAGACAAGACTCGACTGATCAATGCGTGGCATGAAGGCTTGGGGATTGCTTGAAGGAGCCATGGCTCCGAAGGCTAGGATGTGGAGCTTCTTCTTGACGTTAGCTGATTCTCATGTCTTCGGCTATCTGCTTTGGGACATGCTTCGAGGCTCTCCCAAATCTTGCCATGTTCAACATGCCAGCACCCCAGATACGGAGGTGTTCGCGACACAAGACACAGCTTCAAAAAAGGAATTGGCGCGCTGTCCCTGACATGCAACCTGGATTGCTTCAGGCAGCGCTTCAACCCATTCTTCGCTGCAATCGAGGCAGAACCGTTCGAAGTGCGAGAAACATTGTGGCAAGGACAACTGATGCAAAGGTGCTGCTTGGAGCGGTTGCCTGCCGCCTTGCGCGGCCCTGACAAGTAGAATTGGGTTTCAATGTCCTCCACGATGCGTCCAGGTAGTGCTTACAAAATTCTGCACTCAAGATGAACGCTGCACCAGCCCATATTCCAGAATGCTTCTTCGCATGCCGACATCTCCGCTTCATTTGATCACGAAAGCTCCTCCTGAGGGAGCTTCGTTCATTACCTCA